TTCAACTACTGCCGCGCCAGCTGTCTCTGGGAATGCATCCTGTATTGCACTCTTTGACGAGGAGCTACTACATGAGTGTGTAAAAAAAATGAAACCATCATTGTCTTCTGGCCATGATGGTATTCCGTCAGTCCTCTTGAAGGCATACAGTGCCATATTTATTCCTGTTCTAGTACAGATTTTTAACAACTGCCTAAAGAATGAGGTCTTTCCCGCCATGTGGAAAACGGCACTTGTTGTACCTGTGCATAAGTCCGGTCCAAAAACAAATGTGTCGAACTACAGACCTATATCTCTTCTTTGCACATTTTCGAAGCTCCTCGAAGTGGCACTACACAAAATATTGTCATTCAATCTCAAGCGTTATCTTATCCCTAACCAACATGGATTTATGGCGGGTCGCTCGACCACAACTAATCTCGCCTGTTTTATGTCAACCGCTGCTCACGCCGTCGCTAACAGAGGCCAGCTTGATGTGATTTACTTTGACTTGAGTAAAGCGTTTGACATTGTTAATCATGAGATGTTACTGGCTAAACTGTCAAAGCTAGATATTCACAACTCATTGCTTTCATTGCTCGAAAGTTATTTGCGTGACCGGAAGTGCTTTGTTAGCTCGAATAATAATTTTTCTGCTACTTATGAGGCGACAACGGGTGTGCCTCAGGGCTCCGTTCTCGGACCTCTTCTGTTTTCAGTTTTTGTTAATGATGTTTCGACTGTGATTCGTCACTCTTCATTTCTTCAGTACGCAGATGATATTAAGATGTTTATGGAGGTACGAGAAGACCGAGACTGTGTTTTGCTACAGAGAGATGTTGATGCTTTTGAAGAATGGTGCCGGGAGAATGACCTAAAGATAAATAGCTCTAAAACGAAAGTCGTGTCGTACACTCGTAAGACACATAACATTGTATTCCCATATGTTATTCAGACAGACCTTTTGCAACGTGTGAACAGAATCAAAGATCTTGGCGTAGTGTTTGACAGCACCTTAATCTTCTCCAGTCATGTGGATCACATCGTGAACGCAGCTCTACGCACGCTCGGGAGTGCGTGCCGCATCACTAAAGAGTTTATTAACCCCTGCACATTTCTTATACTCTACAGTGCATTGTGTCGACCACAGCTTGAATACGCTTCTGTTGTATGGAATGGAATTTGTGCCACAAATTCCTCGAAAATAGAACGGGTTCAGAACAAGTTTCTTTCCATCTATAGACATCGTTGCTCAGCGCGCATTGTGCCCACCACTACTGATGTCCCTGTCCCTGTTCAGCGTAGCGTGGCACTACCTACCCTGCTTCGTAGGAGAGAACTTGCCGATATCTTATTTTTATACAAACTTGTCCACGCCGTCACTGATTGCACGGTATTGACGTCAAGAGTACTCTTAAAAATTCCTCTAAAAACAACAAGGCAAAATGCGTCCTTCTGCAACAGGCGTCTACTCAACCTCCACGATCCTGTGTCCAGACTTGGGCATACTTATAATTCTTCTTTTTCTGAAACACTCGACATATTTAACAATAACACGCTGCAGTTTGTAAAAACGTTAAAGGCCATCACTTAAATTTGAACTGTATGCACTAACTTGCGGCGTTCACGCCGAAATTCCCCACTTTTAATGCATTTTTTTTTCTTTCTTTCTAGCAATTGGTGTTGGCGGTAGTACCATTAAGCTTATCGTGTGTTGTGACTTTGTGTTTACTTTTTATAATTTTTAAGTGTATTTTTCTAGGGCTTGTCCGTTGTTTGTGTTGTCCGTACTATTGCTTTATACCCTGTTCTGCCTTACATGTTAACACAGTGCACCTGTACCAAGACCGCAAGGTTGTTCCCGGGCACGAATAAAAACATTGATTGATTGATTGATTGATTGATTATTATTATTACACAGTGCACCTGTACCAAGACCGCAAGGTTGTTCCCGGGCACGAATAAAAACATTGATTGATTGATTGATTGATTATTATTATTATTATTGCTTTTTATGTTTCTAGAATGTTTAGTCCGGTAAACCCAATTGTGAGAATGGCTCAGCGTTTGAATCATTACTCTGAAAAACTTGATATTTTCAACCCTTGCTACAGGACGTTTGTCCTTTCTATTAAAAACTTGCCCGTGCAGGATGAGCATTGCTGAATTGCTTTGTTATGTCTGAATGTCGTCATCTCCATGTCGTGTTTTCTGGTGGTGCAGTTGTTGTCCTTCGGTCTTGTGTTCCGTCTCTACTGTTACTGCCTCGTTTTTATTTCATTGTACTAATTACTCGTGCACTGCCTAGTATTATGCTAAAAATGTATCTTATTTTCTGCGGAGATGTGTATAGTGTTTTTTTTTTTTGTTTTTTGTTTTTTTTTTATCCACCAGTGTACCAGCACCAAGACCTCAGGGTTGTTCCTGGGCACTGTATAATAAAGATTGATTGATTGATTGATTGATTGGTTATTTAATAGAAAGGACGTTTGTCCTTTCTATTAAAAACTTGCCCGTGCAGGATGAGCATTGCTGAATTGCTCTGTTATGTCTGAATGTCGTCATCTCCATGTCGTGTTTTCTGGTGGTGCACTTGTTGTCCTTCGGTCTTGTGTTCCGTCTCTACTGTTACTGCCTCGTTTTTATTTCACTGTACTAATTACTCGTGCACTGCATAGTATTATGCTAAAAATGTATCTTATTTTCTGCGGAGATGTGTATAGTCTTTTTTTTTTTTTTATCTACCAGTGTACCAGCACCAAGACCTCAGGGTTGTTCCTGGGCACTGTATAATAAATATTGATTGATTGATTGATTGATTATTATTATTATTATTAGACCTATATCTCTTCTTTGCACATTTTCGAAGCTCCTCGAAGTGGCACTACACAAAATATTGTCATTCAATCTCAAGCGTTATCTTATCCCTAACCAACATGGATTTATGGCGGGTCGCTCGACCACAACTAATCTCGCCTGTTTTATGTCAACCGCTGCTCACGCCGTCGCTAACACAGGCCAGCTTGATGTGATTTACTTTGACTTGAGTAAAGCGTTTGACATTGTTAATCATGAAATGTTACTGGCTAAACTGTCAAAGCTAGATATTCACAACTCATTGCTTTCATTGCTCGAAAGTTATTTGCGTGACCGGAAGTGCTTTGTTAGCTCGAATAATAATTTTTCTGCTACTTATGAGGCGACAACGGGTGTGCCTCAGGGCTCCGTTCTCGGACCTCTTCTGTTTTCAGTTTTTGTTAATGATGTTTCGACTGTGATTCGTCACTCTTCATTTCTTCAGTACGCAGATGATATTAAGATGTTTATGGAGGTACGAGAAGACCGAGACTGTGTTTTGCTACAGAGAGATGTTGATGCTTTTGAAGAATGGTGCCGGGGGAATGACCTAAAGATAAATAGCTCTAAAACGAAAGTCGTGTCGTACACTCGTAAGACACATAACATTGTATTCCCATATGTTATTCAGACAGACCTTTTGGAACGTATGAACAGAATCAAAGATCTTGGCGTAGTGTTTGACAGCACCTTAATCTTCTCCAGTCATGTGGATCACATCGTGAACGCAGCTCTACGCACGCTCGGGAGTGCGTGCCGCATCACTAAAGAGTTTATTAACCCCTGCACATTTCTTATACTCTACAGTGCATTGTGTCGACCACAGCTTGAATACGCTTCTGTTGTATGGAATGGAATTTGTGCCACAAATTCCTCGAAAATAGAACGGGTTCAGAACAAGTTTCTTTCCATCTATAGACATCGTTGCTCAGCGCGCATTGTGCCCACCACTACTGATGTCCCTGTCCCTGTTCAGCGTAGCGTGGCACTACCTACCCTGCTTCGTAGGAGAGAACTTGCCGATATCTTATTTTTATACAAACTTGTCCACGCCGTCACTGATTGCACGGTATTGACGTCAAGAGTACTACTCTTAAAAATTCCTCTAAAAACAACAAGGCAAAATGCGTCCTTCTGCAACAGGCGTCTACGCAACCTCCACGATCCTGTGTCCAGACTTGGGCATACTTATAATTCTTCTTTTTCTGAAACACTCGACATATTTAACAATAACACGCTGCAGTTTGTAAAAACGTTAAAGGCCATCACTTAAATTTGAACTGTATGCACTAACTTGCGGCGTTCACGCCGAAATTCCCCACTTTGAATGCATTTTTTTTTCTTTCTTTCTAGCAATTGGTGTTGGCGGTAGTACCATTAAGCTTATCGTGTGTTGTGACTTTGTGTTTACTTTTTATAATTTTTAAGTGTATTTTTCTAGGGCTTGTCCGTTGTTTGTGTTGTCCGTACTATTGCTTTATACCCTGTTCTGCCTTACATGTTAACACAGTGCACCTGTACCAAGACCGCAAGGTTGTTCCCGGGCACGAATAAAAACATTGATTGATTGATTGATTGATTGATTGATTATTATTATAGTTGTTCCGCAGTTGGTTGCTTAGATCGAGCGGGAAACGAGAATGGTACTCGGCTCGGTCATTTCTTATGTGTTGTCGTCTAAGATATAGATAACTCAAAAGCATTAGCAGATCGACAACTTTTCTCGTTCAGCGGCCTCCACAAACCTAAAAAAGTTCAACTTTTCTTCCTGTTTTGTTCGGTTTTTCTTTTTTGCCGGATTTCGGGCTTTGCTTTGAGTTCCTAATTTAAAACGCGCGGTCTAGGATCTTGGTCGAGACGAACCTCTAGTGATCAGTGGACAACTAGCGACACCTGGTAAACAGGCAGGACACTTCTGCGTACTTCCTGTCCTACCCTACATGGTAATAAATGCAACCTGGAAGGTACGCCTCGCCGTTCTGGACGAAGATGAGTAAGAAAATTTAGAAAAATGTATTTCAACGCGAAATGCAAACAAGCATCATCCACAGCCTAAATTGTCTCCATTGAAGGCACTCTACCACAAACAAACCGATATGGCCGGTCTGTGAGCACCACGCACTTGGTTTTCACCTCTTCGACTGAAACAAGTGCTGCTCTTTGTTGTTTTTTTTTTTTTTTTTTTTCTTTGTGCAGTATCAAAGCTTTACAGAAGTTTCTAATATTTCAAAACCGAAACTACCTCGGTAACAAACTATATATAAGTAGACAATGGTTACATTCTTCGTAATGGACGGTAGCTTGCGCCGCCTAGCATAGAGGAACGAAAACGACAACAAAGAAGGAGAGCGAAATACGAAGGAAAGAGCCTCCACTCTTCGCCCCATCCCTTCCCGACAACCTGTTGAAGACAACTGACATCCCTGACTTTTGGAAGTTCTGTCCGGCGCCCACAAAACAAAAATCGCACGCTGATCACCACGCTCAGTAAATGAAGCGTTCCGGATGGACCAAGATACCACCGTCGACGAGAGGTCACCCGTGATCGCCACCGACGGTACGTCGCCTGTGCCGCCGCCGATCGCCCGAGTCTTTGGAGTTATGCGTGGAATGTAAACAAGGCTGCGCCGCCTCCTCTCCGCACTCGGGGAAGTCGCCTACGAGACAACGCGCTCTCACTATCGCGAATCAACCTCATCAAATTTCGGAGATGTGAGTCGATCGTTTAGATAAGGAAAGAACCACGACTCGGAAAGTGATCGGCGGGCCGTTTCAACGCGGACCGAAGCACTCGCTGGGCCGGGAGGCTGCGATGGGTCGGCCATGCGGCGCTGACTTCTAGGATGCGACCTGGCGTTGCGTTGCCGTCCACCGCGGAGCCCTGGCTCCCCGTCCCCAAGTCCCCGAGGACGGACGCGGCGCGTCGCCGCAAGACGTCATCGGCTCGGAAGACGCGGTCGCTGCCTCTGCCGGGACCACGGCATCGTCCCCGAATGCGACCACGCAGGAGCTGCTCCCGCTGTGCGACGTGCTCTTCAACATCATCTCCTTGGCGTCCTACTTCTGCGACGTCGTCTTCGACGTCATGGTGGCCTACACCCTGCTGGCGGTGCGGCGGCAGCCCCTGTGGTTCGGGATCTCACTCAGCTGCATTCTGGGCTCCCTGGCCACCAGCCAAGTCCTCTCGCTGCGCTGGTACCTGGACGCGGTCAAGGCGGCGAGCTCGGGCCGCAGGCGTCGCTGGGGCGTGCTTGCGCTGCACGCGTTGCAAGCGGGCGTCTTGTGGCGGTACTTCAAGCTCTTGTTGCCCGTTCGGCTGAGCGCCGTGAAGAGAGAAGTGGCCGACCTGTGCCTCCTGCGACTCGTGCACGCCTTCGGCCAAGCCACGCCGATGCTGCTCCTGCAACTCCACCTGGCCTGGGCGCAGCCGTCGGCGGATCTCGTGGCGCCCCTGGACCGGGTGTCGCTGCTTCTGTCCCTCTTTAGCGTGTGCTGGGCGCTCGCTTCCTTCAGCAAGAACGTTCGGCGTCGCCAGCTCCACCGGCTCGTGCTCACCTGGCTCGGCGTCGTTTGTCAGCTCGCCTGGCGTCTGGGCACCGTGTCCGCGCGGGTGGTGGCGCTCACTTTGTACGCGGCGCTCTACGGACCCTGGGTCTTGGCCGTGCTGGTGCTGCACTGGCTAGCCATGCTTGTATGGCTGGCGTCGCCTCCCCGTCGGCTCTTCGGCGGGGAGGTCCTCTGGCGTCGGCTCGCCTACTGCGCCCTGCTCGCCTACTTGCACACCCTATGCTACGTAAACCTACGACCGGAGCCGGGACGGGCCCGGCGCGCCGCCTTTTACGTGGCGATGTTGCTGGAGAACAGCCTTCTAGCAGCGGTCTGGCTCGCGCTGCATCCCGGACCTCACTGGGGTCAGAGTGCCGCTCTCCTGACCGTCTGGGGCGGCTTTTTCTTGGGACTAGGCTTCATGTTGCTTTACTACCGCTGCTGCCACGTGCGCCGTCTGGCCCCCGTGCCCCGCGCGGCTCCACCGGTGTCTCCGGCGGGCGTCTTCAACTGCCGCCTGAACCCCGCTGCGCTCAAGCGCAAGCGCAAGAAGCCATCGTCGTTCGTGCCCCCTGCCCAGCCCTTTTGGAAGAGAGGCCCCGGAGCACCGCCCGCTGTCGACATCCAGCAGAAGCTCCAGGAAAAGCGACGCCAGCAGCTTCAAGACCTGCTCGCCATCGAGGAGGAGATGAAGCAGGGGAAACTGGCTCCAAGGGGCCCTCCGCAGGGGCCGGCACCCCGGCAGCCCATCCCGCGCTCCAAGAAGCAGCCCTGGCTGCGCAGTCCACCCCAGTTCCGCTACCGGTCGCTCCTCGGCGGTTCACCAGAGGTCCTGCTGTGCCCTCACCGCCTGGACCAGGCCCGTGGAGGGGGACCCCTCAGGGCTGCGCCCCCCTTGGCAAGGACCCTCCCGCGAGAGTTACGTTGGGCACAGAGGGCCCTTGCATTCAGGGAGAGCAACTCGAGCGACGGGGACGTGGACTCTGCGGACGAGGATGCTTCGGCAAGGCTGCGCAGCTGCCGCACCTTTTTGGGGAGACCGCACGGACCGGAGACCAGGCTTTGATTCTTCACCAAGGCTCCGAAGACGAAGGTTCGGCCAGCACCTAGAGGCCTTCCACGGTCCAGGTCGTAACCGGTACACTTGGCCAACTACGGTTCGTCAAAATACTCATTATTATTTAACTGGATCGTCGACCTCTTTGCAATTGGCTAAGTGGGACCCTGCTACTACCAGATTTGCCGACCAGAGCCTCCTCTAAGTTACACCGTGTCCGTGAGCTTACAGTGAGAGAAACTGATCAAAATGGCTTCTGCGAGGCAACACTGGCCGAAAGAAAAACGCCGCTATGTGGTGAAAGTAACCCTCCACCACGGTGCTGGAAACATGTCTTCAGCCGGTGTGCTTACTGCACCCTCGTAATTGGTCTCTCGATTTCCCTCCGACGACAAGGTTCGTGTCATGCTGTCATTGGCCGCTGTCCAGCCAATGTCGCACCAGCAGAGATGGATGTGGGAGACGGCTCTTCCGCTGCGAGTCACCGCAGCTGGCCAGCCGGCGGGAACTAGAGTAGCCACGGTTCGGGATGCCGCTGCAACAGTGACACTTGCATCTTTGTCGGCACTTCAACTGTGTGTCCGGGAAAAAAAGATTTGCCAGTGGTTTTTTTCTCCACAAATATGAGCTGTGCGTCGCCAAACACCCAGTCTTGAGACCAGATGCCAAATTTTAGAACTCTTCGTCGTATTGTTTATAGCAAAAGCTATAAGACATTTTGTGAAATTTTCAATGTAAAAACCCTGTAGCCGACTCTATTCATCGCTTTGCATTTGTCGGGAACTGTTCTTTCGTTTAAAAATTTTCCAAAATCGCCGATAACTCCTGAATTGGATAGTGCGAGCTCTGAAACTTTGGCATTGGTCTAGGTCACTATACTGCGTCTTGCCCTACGAGGTACTAGGGTCCGAAGGCTGGCGGCATAGTACTACCTCAGAAAAGCTTTCATCTGCATTGCAAAGAGCGCGCGAAAAATTCCCAATACGCAGAGTACGAAGAGCACTAATCTTATGCATATGGTTCTCTGTTGTGATAGCGTGCTATTTTATATTGGTGAAGTAAAGCTACATGGTATTTATTTTCATTAACATGCATGGCCATATTTCGTAAACACATCAACTGTTTGGAAAGGTTTGAGGGTACGCAGGCAACACGGACATAAAGTCCTTTCACCTTAACCATAACAATCCAATCCATTCTTCAACGCTCTATCCAAATTTGTTAATGGCCATTGGTTCCGATCTCGGGTTCTCTTTGTCACATCGCTTCCAGATGGTATTTAGTCCCATCAATAGTAGCAAGCAGACGAAGCCGACGCAAGGGTTCAATAAGCAGACGGAAAACTTGCATCCGCATGGCACATCTTGGCGCACCGATACGCATGACGAATCAAATATACCTTGTGGTTTCTGACAGGCTCGTGATTGGACCCGGCAGCCTGTGGCATTGGCTTTTAATCTATCGTAGGACGAGACGGAGTATGGCGCCACATTTGGACGGAGACTGCACTGCTTAGTTCATTTTTGGTGGTGAAAAGACCACTTCAAAGTTGTTTTTTACGGACACCCTGTACAATTATTTGCCAGAATTGCAACAAAATGAGCTCCTGGCTCCCGTGGCAGATTGTTCTTGCGATCTTAGATGCATGGGCCTTAGAAGATGCTAAGCACACCAGTTGGAGATCTGTTTCGGGCACCGTACCAGTATTTTGCCTCTGGAAACAGTGATCCCCTTCGGACCCCTACATGAGGCATGGCCTCTTTGTGCAGAATATCATTGTAAAGCAGGAACCATAGACTGTGCAAGAAAAGCTGCCCTTTCAGACACAGTAAATGTAACAGAATTGAAGGACACAAAAGTGGCATTTCACCTTTTTCAAAACTCCATCGAGCAGCATTGGCAATCGCCATATTATTTTATGTGGCACTGCCAGCTCTTGTTGTGCGACGGCACCCAAGCACTGAAAGCAAGCCCATGACTACATTATGGCAAACTTGGGAAATTTGAGAAGTGGCTCCACCTGTAAAGGGTTCAGAGTTCTCCCTAATATATGACGTGCCTTACTACCGTACAAAAATATTACACTTTTTTCAGCTCCAACATGCACCTGTACTGAAGGATATACACAGCAGCCCAAAGGGTAAGGACAATTAAAAGACGTAGAAAGGACCAGCACTTGTCCTGTCTATGTCTTTTACTTGTCCTTGTCCTTTGTGCTGCAGTGTGTATTATGTATAACCAACTTGTACATCAGATCAAATTATACTGAAGTAAGCCGCCGAAATGCCATTGAAGCTGGCGCTCTATGTGCGTTGGCCCGTGTTTAGTGGCAGTTGGGTGGCATGTGCGATAAATGTTTTGAGAATACATTTCCAAGTGGAGGTGACTGGTGCGCAACATTCGTAGCAAGCTCCACCCCAAACAAACCAAAACGTCAAGTCACCACGGCCTCTACAGGGTTCAGAATAATTCGGCAGGATGCACCGCAAACCAACAGATTCACTGTTGATTGAGGCCCACAACATTAGCAAAGTCCAGGTTGCTACGTCAAGATATCTGTTAAGCTATAGCTTGTTGGTTACAGTTTTATAGCTATTTATACGACTCAAGTTGGCAACTATTTTGTGGCTACTTCTGCAACTTGTGTGATTGGCTCGAGAGTCTTCGAGTGCCACCATCGAGGAATGCTTGCTCACATGATCCGAACATGCTGGAACTATTGATTCGTTGTTCAGTGCCTGGTGGAGTGTCTTGGGACAAACAGAATCGCATCTTGTATGTGTTTGTGACCGTCCTCACCATCGAGCTGCGCAAGACGGATGCCAACGACCTCGCGAGTGTGGATTCTGCTTTGTGCGCATTTATTCATAAATAGGCAATACGAAACGGTGGCTTCCCTATTCATCCGCACTCGTCGCGGCACGCGGTCCGCCGCCGTCCGCATCCCAACCAGCTCTGGGGACAGGCGCGGTCTTGTTTCGCCCTGCCCGGCGCAGAGAGGACCACCTCCCGGTGGTCCGACCGGCGACCTGCACCGTTTGCCTGCAGAACTCGTCCGTCCCGCGAAAGCCATGTCAAGGCAGTTCGACGCCAGCGCATCGACACCAAAGGTCCGGAGAATCCAATCTCCATGTTTGGCCGGTCACCGCGGGCCGCCCCTAGGTCGCAGGGGCGGCACGGGGCGGCCACAACGCAACGCGCCGGCTACTCCCGTGGCGCTTGACGTGCTTGGCGAGGTGGTCGCTGCGCATGAAGCGCCGGTCGCACAGCGTGCAGCAGAAGCGCTTCTCGCCGGTGTGGGTCCGTCTGTGGCGCGAAAGTTCGTCCGAGCGCGAGAAGCACCGCTCGCAGCCGGCCCACTGGCAGGCGAAGGGGCGCTCCCCCGTGTGCGTCCGCACGTGGGCCTTGAGGTGCGAGCTCTTAAAGTAGGTCTTGCCGCAGCCCGCGTAGCCGCAGACATAGGAGCGCCGGCGTTCTTCCGGCGTCGACGGGGCGTTGTTTGCCGGCGCGTTGATGAAGAGAGTCGTCGGGACGGGGCGCGCCACCAAGAGCCTGACGGCACCCATGGGCACCAGGGTCTGGACCAGCGTCTCTTCGGCGCGCACCATGGTTGGAAGGATCGAGAGGGCGGGCTTAGGCGCAATGGCCACCACGGGGCGGAGGGGTTCCGGCCTGGGGGGCGGAGGAGGCGGCGGGGGGGTCCCGGCAACCGGGGGGCGGCTCTTGGGGGGTGCTCGGACGATCACCGACACCGGGGTGCAAGTCTGCGGGGCCGCAGGAGTCGGACGACTGTCTGCCAGCAGCAGCTGGAAGAGGAAAGGTGAGAGATTGGCGCGATTTCTAGACGGAAATTGTCCCCGCAGTTTCAGCGCCCCCTCGTGACATGGTTGGTGCTAGCTTGGTGTTGCAATGTTCGTGCAGAAAGCTCTTCGTAGTTTTAGCTTCCTGCACTATTCTGATGTCTCCCCTAGAGTTTCTTTCTTAGCCACTTTTCACCATCTGAAACCACCCAGTACCTCCTTCGAGCACCAAAGAGTATGGCCATTTGCTTCCAGCAAGCAACAGAGTAATAACAAACCCTGAAACACTTTCTTTTTTTTCTTTTTTCACGTGCCAAAGCAAATTGAGGTTTTTAGACACTATTTTAGAGAATATTTATGTTGAAACATGCATTTCCTTAGCACTAAATGTCCAGTGAATGGACAAACGGGCAGTAATACCATCTGAAGAAGGAGAAGGGGGGGTTTAAAAGACCGATACCAGGGGAAAACTCTAATCGGGACCGAGTGCACACCCACGCCAGTAGAGCCAACAAAAACTACACTGAGAGAAATATGTTTCCAAAAATGAAGTGTGCTTTAAGAGTGGCACAACTCAAGGCACATGTTCCATGTACTTAACCAGTAAGCTGCTTCACTTCAACTGTGAGCAAAGCAGAAGACACAAAACCGAGCTCCGGGTTTCGTTCCTGCCAAGCATGTATGCTCGTTCAGTGCAAGCATCTTTCGGGGCAACATGCTCGTGCTTGTAGCTTCAACTTTGCCAGCACATAATGTCAAACAAACTATGGTGTTCACGCGGCCCATTGGAGACCTAGCTTCGTTTCCTTCTCCAACGGACACTTCGGAATGTAGTGCTCTCAGAACATGCCGCCATCTGTGACTGGCAATATGTTCTAGCTGGCAGCACTAGAAATCTGACGGACGAATATGGGATGCACTCTTGTGCATCACATACAGATTGTTGGTTGCCAGTTGGCAATGCAGAAGTATCCTAGAGGAGGCCACACTCTTGCACCTTGGTCCATTATTTGACCAAAACCATTTACATTACCGGTGATTCATTTGCTCATCTATGGCTGTAACATGGCAAATGTATTGTTCCAGACTGAAAATAATTTTTAATAACAATGCTCTTGACGAGAGTCGTTCTAGACATTGCCAACCGTGGCAGACCTTGGAGCACAAGAGTGATGTGATCATTGGTAAAATTATTGCCAAAAATTTGCTTTTAAACTGCATTTTTGCTTGCAGATTTTATTCTAAGGTGTGCAGCCTGTGATCAAAATAGGCCAGAGCAGTTGGTAGATTCGAGAAAACCATGTTTCGCCTATCCCAAAGAGATGTCGAAACAAATACATGAGTGCAACAAAAGTTTTGCATCCAGGCGACAGTAGTGGCCACTTCAAGAGCAGGCAATGGGTAATCGTAAGTACCCCTAGCAGTGATGCAATATCCCTCGCCAATGTCATACGTGAATGTCTGTTTGAATGCAGAGATTTCAGTGATTTCTTTGACCCTCTGGTTCGCTGTGGAAAGCCATCAAAATGAGAATGGCAGGGCATGTCTTTTGAATCACCTGCCCCCTACATGCACTCCGTGCCTTCCGCTGAACTTTGGCTGCGCTTGCATTCGAGGTACATAAGATGCCGGGGCACTGTCGGTGGTAGGAATCCGGCGCTTGGGGCAGGGCAGTATCTCCCTGTTGTGCTCAACTTGCCAGCGTCTATACTCCGTTTCACAATAACTTGGCAAACTGTGGAAGCTGCGACCCCCGCGACCCAATAAGAGCGTCCGAGCAATGCACGTTGCAACACACCAAGATCGAGGCGACGGAAGCCTCGTTACCGCCACCGCAACAAAAGTGTGCAACAAAAAGTAGTTCTGGGCTTCTTTTTCTTTGAGTAATGTTGCAGTCAGACTGTTATGACCACAACAGTACACGACACGGAAGACAAAGACTTATGTGTCAACGATACTTAATATGGATAAACACTTCTGAAAAAAATGTGGCTTTTGAACAATGCTTCAACACTTTCACTCAGGACATTGCCCTGGCATTAGCATCCACCACAGAGTCATGGGTAAATTGAGTGTATGATTGTCTCGTGAACTGCTCCCGAAGAGCTTGCTATTCTAGCAGACGGCAATGTAGCGGCGGTGGACATTTATCCGAAGTCGGTTGCTTTTACAGCAGACGGCATTGGGTTACTCCAGGCCTCGCATTTAGCGCAACGACGGAAACGCTCCTGTGACGTGGTGTAACATACTTTACTACAAAGCCCTTATTGGGTCATAGGGACCGTAACCTCCACAGTCCGCCAAGTTATTGTGAAGCGAAGTATGAGCCCCGAGCTAATTTGGCATTGGGCTACAAATCTTCAATTAGAATGTGCTAGCCAAAATTAATACTGAATTTCCGAATTTTTTTTATTTAATCCACTAATTGTTGTGTTGCACCCCTGTAGCAAGGTTTTCTGCAGTCCACGATGTCATCCTAGAGGAGACATCTCCCTATTTCAACTGATTTAGTTGGAAAATAATTTTTATCGTAAACAAAACGCCATCTGTCTAATGGGAGGCAGAATAAAAAAAAATTAAAAAGCGGGAAACGTCCTGCGTACCCGTGCGAGTTCCGAGGACCTGCTGCAGCCGCCCTTGCCCGGAGACGCCTCCTCCTGCTCGTCCTCCGAGTTTGGGGGTGTGAGGTCCATGCCAGGCAGCGGTCGGACAACACTGTCCTTGCCGTGCCTGCTCATGGCCAGGAGGGTCTCCACCGCAAAGTAGTCGGCTCGGCCCAGATGGGCGGCGCTGGGGGCAGTCTCTTCCATCTGCAATGCATCAACACCTCGTCCGTTGCAGAGACCGTCGCCCGGCAAAGGGAGCCCCTCGTCCCTGATCGTGCGAGGGCTCCGTCAGCGGGTGACTTGCAGAAAAAACGGAAAGCAACAGCGAGACCTGCACAGACCCCAACACGGGGCGTGTCTCAAGAGCACCACAATTAGGCGCACGTGAACTGTGACCTTTGGAATGCACACAGTCGAAGCACCATCGAAGAACCACTCCAAACAATCTGTCGACCCAGTACGTACAACTGCAGACATCCCAATGCCCTAAGGATGTCAGGTGCATGTCAGCAAGTCTGTATGTTCACCATGAGTCAAACAGAAGACTACATCAGGTTGACCACTTTTTGCCACAAGCAATACACAACATAATGTTCAATCACTTGTCCAAATGCTCTTTGATAGAGATTCTGCTGAAATGCAAATGCATGCTTTCGTTTTTTGGGGAGTTTCCTATGTAATATCTTGATAGTAACTGCAATATGTTAGGCTCTGTAGGTTTTCCCCTTTATTTTTTTTTATTTGTTTTTGTAAGCACCAGGATTTATCTTCTGCTGAAAAGAAAACAGCCTAGTCTGACTAGATGTCTCAGTAGGCAGAAGAGTTCATGTAGGGTCATTTGCTGGAATACTGTGGTCCTTTGTTGTATTTCTGCAATATGTGGTTGCAGATGTAGATGGCAAGAGGTAACAATGGTTTTGAAGTATGGCTCATGCCCTCTACTTACAATATGCAATAGTATATTGAAATATTGTGGCTTTGTCTACCACAAACATTATATAACTGAAATAAATATAAGGGCACAAACGAGCTGGTGTACATTAAACATGATTCAAAAACCCCGAAACTGCAAGTAACGACACTTTTTCTTTTTTTGAGAGAGAGAGAGAGAGAGAGGGGGAATACAATTTTAGCTGTGCTTGTGACTTTTGGTTTTGGGCGTGCCTGTGGTGGGGTGGGGGGGGGAGAGAGAGAGAGAGGGAGGGAGGGGGAGGGTTGAATCATGTTTAATATAGAACTACTAGGCTCCATGAAATATTGCTTTTTGTTGGGGTTCTTCAAAGACTTTCGTGGTGGCACGGTATATTGCTGGATAGATATGTAAAGTGGCAGCAAAGCTCTTACTGGCAAAAAAAAAAAAAAAAAAGATACCATACTGCACTAACTGAAAGAGAAGAAAGATTAGAGTGTATACATATTTCCAGGAAATAAAGATCGGGCATAAACCGAAGCACAATGGAGGAAAATATGAAAAAAAAAAATTATAACTCCTCGTGTTGATTTTTTTTTTTTTTTTTTTTGCTTAGTTAGACACTTATTAGCGCTAGAAAAAATGGAAAGTAAGAAGGCATAAAAGGCCCGCCCGTCTTTGTTTCAGGAAACGTTAAAGGCCTCTTTCCCTCACTAGAGGGCCGCAAGCGGCTACCAATTTCCGTAGCAGACGACTTATCAAATCGAGACCGTCGTCTGCTCCAGATAATTCCCTCGTGACCCGTCTGCAATGCAAACAGCAAGCTCGGTTGATAAGAACCTTATCGGGCGTGACGACCTTCCGTGCAACAGAGGCGTTTCGGCCATCCACTACGACGTATTACGTTCGAATGCATCGACGTCCATGCAGCGAACTATACTCCACAGCAAACTCTAGTTCTCTAAATACGTTCTAAATATATCAAAAAAATCCCCAAATTGTTCCAGGCGTTCAAAACGGTTCGTTTCCCTGGTGGCGGTAGACTGACCAGCTGACGGCGGAAGTGGACGGGCCGTGTCGGAGGTTGTCGCAGGAGGCATAGCCTTACCTTTCGCCGGTCCGTCCCTTTTACTGGGGTCGGGAGCAAATAGAACAGGGGAAAAAAAGGAGAGGACTGGACGGGAAAAGAAACATTGAATAGATAGATAGGGATCGAAGACACTCGTGAAACCAGTTGGTCAGTATATTGGGCGCCCAACGTAGGGCGGCTTTTTTATTCCACCAGTCAGTCGTCAGTTCAAAACAAGCGCAGCGCGACCCCCGCGAAATCCCCACCCTTTTGCTCTGCCACCACGGGAAAAATAAAAACATTCTGAAACGACACAGAGGCACTTTTTCTACAACGCGCACGGATCACAGTGTGCGGGGCGTGCTGTGGACGTTATGAACACGACAGCCGAGAGTCAAAAATGCCGACGGCTCGCGAACGACGTCGGGCCGGTCAGGCTACTTACAGAGTCTTCGTGCGGCGGAGGCGTTTGCGCAAATCGCGTCATGGGCGCTGCCGTTGTCACAAGCGTAAAAGGTTTCCCGCACCACAGTATTTTCCGTCCGCTTCGCGACGCAGGGGAAAAGCGAGCTGCGTCTTGGGAAGCCCTTTTCTAAGGTCGGCCGCGGGGGCCGCGTCCGCCGCCGGCCAATCGGGAGGCGAGGGCTCGGCGGGCCCGGCCAATGGGAGCGGCGCGTGCACGTGAGAGCGGCGTGATCAGGACCCAGCTGAGCACGTGCACCGCTGCTGATGGCCTGCGTGTTCGTAGGCTGACCGGGCCCCCCACCCCTCCCGCGCCCTCGGAGCATAAACATCGGCTGCTGTTGCTGGGGGGAAGTTGTGTTGTTGGGGTGGGCCAACATGGCCAACACCCGGTTCGGGTAGAACACGCGGATCGGTTTTTGGCGTCGATGGAAATGTTTGGCTTGGTATCACGCGGAGGTTTCGCGGTCTTTGTTTGCTGCACCGCGTTCTTTCTGACCTCTTTTCCGAGGGGCGGTGGCCGGCCGCCCACCAACGAGTTTTTTTTTTTTTTTTTTTTTTTAATTTGTTGAACAAAGCCGCTGGTCGATATTTGAACATTTGTGTTGAACATTGTTAAATGACTAAACTCTGTTATAGCCGTTTAATATCCTATCTCTGTCGGAAAATCGTGAGGTTGTGCTTTGTTGTCTTCGTTCGTCTTTGTGTTCGGAAATTGAGACTCGCACGGCTTTTTAGAAGTAAAATAAAGACTTGTTTGTCGTGATTGGAGAGGGGGGCCTGAGGCCCGCGGCACGGGCCCGGTTTTTCGTTTGTTTACCGGATCAAAGCACTTTCATCGGTCGTCTGCAACTCCCCTTTCGAAGGCGGTTTGAGTCACGCGGAATGTAAGGCCAACGTCACCATATGACGCATCATACTTCTCCGACACGGACTCGAGCAACGAAGCCTGCTCCCATACTTCGGTTACGCTTCGACTGTACGTCATTTTCGTACAGTCGGTCCTCTGCCTCCCCCAAATTTCAGATTCGCCCAACTTCCGCCCAACTTCCAGACCCTAAACGCAGAAAAACAAAGGTGTGACGTCAGCCAACGTTGCGAGATCCGCTCGGTGGCTCGGTCAGTTGTAGAGGTCTTGCGAAGAGGCGGATCCCCCTCTCATCCCACAGCTCGACGCATATCGTTCGCAGCGCTGTCGCTTTTGCACGCTGTGGCGGGTATCCGCAATAGCAGTTCGGCGACTGACGCAGCGTGTACAAAGAATGGCGCTTCGACCGCTGGGTGTCGGGCCGGGACAAGTAAGTTTTGCCCGTGCAAGCAGCGTCACCTCAACTGCTTTGATCTAGAAACGTGGCCTTTTACCAAGTGACGTTGTTCGCAGCTTTGTTTTATTATATATGTCCTGAACGGACGTCATGTTGTCGTCCCGTACCCCGTCACCGCCTCCCTGCAGTCTGGGGATTTCCAGCTACGGTAGCCAGAAGTGGAACGCGCCTCCGACGGCTGGCGTCGTCACACTCTGCAACGCTCCTGTTCGACGCGATCCTAGCGGTGAAAGACCTGTGGAGGTAGTAAGCCTAGTTAGGGTCACGATACGACAGACTCCTGTAGCTACACTCCGCGACAACTTTTCTTGGCAATGCAGTGGAAGGTACAGGCCTGCGTTCCCTCTCCCATTTTGAGTGTGCGCGGGCTCTCCTCCTCTCCCCGGAAATGGAAAGAGGAGGAGAGCCCGCGCACAGCTTTGCTGCGCTCAAAATGAGAGAGGGAACGCGTGCCTGTACCTTCCACTGCATTGCCAAGAAAAGTTGTCGCGGAGTATAGCTCTGCATTCGGACCACTAAATCGGCCATTTGATCAAAATTCAAGCAGCGCGGCAGCGACTCTTGAGTTCGTTCGATTTTTTTCCGCGACCACGAGGGTCGCGACAACGCTTGACGCGCTTGACGGCTTGACGCCGCCACCCGTGACGTATTTTGGTTCAACCCGCACATAATAATAATAATAATAATAATAGTAATTGTGTTGCAAGCAGGGTGTCGAACCGGAACCGAACCGAAAACCGGAACAGAACCGTTATTTTTAGCCGAACCGGAACTGAACCGAACCGAAATCTTCGCCGCCATCTTGGAACTGAACCGGAACCGAACCGAAAAAAAATATAACGGTAACCGGTTCAAAACGGTTCAAGGTAATATTTTTTTTCTTCTTTGCTGGTATCACAAAATGAAATATGGGAATAAACAATTGGCGGCTGTATTTCTATCTGTTGATCGAATCGTCATATACATAATTGCAACGTATGATAAATTGTGGGTTTTCATGACACCTTTGTTGTCACTATGATTAACCATGTGTCAAGTTGTCACGTGACGTCATGGTGTCAATACATGTTGTCAAGTAATGTCACGTGGCCTCGTGACGTCACGTAACTCACTGCGTTAAATCGATTTAATTTGAGGAAGTCACTAGATGTATTAACCTTGTTGACAGCAGGACGTAACATGACATCACGATTTCGCACCGAGAGTCACGTCACACCGTGACGTAAGCGATTTTCAAAATCCCTAGTCGAGTGCTCGGGTTCATGACAATCAGCATGGCCAAACATTCAGGTAACGGCTCATGTCAATTAGATATGATAATCAATAGCCCAACACTAACAATATCTGAAGCTCAGCCCAAGCTTTTGCTTTGCAAACCCTTGCAGCTATAGGGCATGACTGTGATGAACACTGGCGGTATATAATTAGGGTCAGATCACGTGGCCGCTTGTTCAAATTGCGAGTTCAGGAGATATCGACAGCTGTCTCTGTCCTTTATTTTTTCTGCATCCCTTATTAGGGGAAAACTAATGGATGTTTCTGCAACCTATCAACGTCACGGGTTATTTCTTAACACTATTTATTGAAAGTACAAAAAAAATGTTGCAAGACCAATTTTACGTTATTGAGGCATTGAAACATTTTTTCGTTGTTGCTGAAGTATATCCGAAAGATGTCCCTGAGAATAGAAATTTTGAAATAACTAAATGCGACCTATTAATATGACGTTACATAGAACTACACGTGTGTACGGAAGGAATACCTAAAAAAAGAAGACATTTTAGTGACGTGAGAGGAACAGCCGAACGTTGGCAGTCGCTGTAAGTCTCACACGAGCGTCGTTCTCAAGTTAATGCCCAAGTTTGGACCCCTCTGTATTTTGTTTAAATGAGCTATAACATATTTCTATACATTACTAAATACTACTCAGGATCAGTCCCTGACGTTAATAACTGATTGAACTTGGCTTTGCTCTTTTTTTCTAGGCAATGGTAGTCGCCGAAAAAATTAGAGAAATATGAGCATCGTTCATCCCCTCTACTCGGAGACAGAAGCGGCCACGTGGCCTGGTGCCTATCTTATGCCGCCAACGTTAATCATACCCCCGCGCTAGAGTTTTAAAGGAAGAAAACGCTTGCTGGAGCTCCAGGCATTGTTAGAGTTCGACTATTTTCATCACCACAGAGGTTGGACACGAGCTGCTACCCAAGTGTCTGCCGAGGCATTGATTGTTACGAGCCGATGTACGGTGCTCACACAGTTCTCCTGCCCAATCCATGAGTCGCGCTCGACTGTCGACAGGCGGGTGGTTTTGATCCCACAATTACAACATCAACCTTTGAGGAGGCAAGGCTAAAAGAAATAGTCTCGTTCAATCCTCGCAATTTCACCGCGACAAAAAAGCTTCTGAATCAGTGGCGCCCTGTGCGAGTACACTTGGACCAGGGGACCAGTACGCCTCGGAAAAGTCATGCACATTCAAACCCGATATCGTTTCATGACCCCTTTAAACTTCACGGGGTGCAAAATAAAAGCAATGAAAGGTTGCGGTTAACAAGTGTCAAATAAAATTGTCGAATTAACAGACACAAACGAAGGAGGTAATTCCTCAGGAATACTTTCAGCCTTTCCACTCTGCTGAAGGAGGAAGATCAGAGAAGCTGTACATATGGTGGGAATGAAGTAATAGCCGGCCGCAAGTTGGCAAGCCAGACTGGAAAGGCTGGAAGGGTTGCCGCCATTTATGAGCGACGGTGGCAACCAAACAACTGGCAAGCCGGCTGTCTGGCTTGCCAGCCCTTAACCCTTAGCCCTTAACAGCACCGCTGTATAAAGAAGTGCGTCTGTGTGTGGGGCCGGGGGGGGGGGGGGGGGGGGTTAGAAACATACTGTGTTGTAAAGGTTCCTATTCCCCGCATCTTTGGCGCAGACCAAAAAGTGTGACCCCGGAAACTACTTTGATTTGAAAAGCGCTCTTGCCAAAAAGCACGTTTTTGTTGTGCCAGACGCTGGCGCCGTTCCTCACGACGATACACTAAGAATAATAATACTAGCCTTTCAAATACTTTGCTTTCACTGAGCTTGCACTCCTGCAGCGTGCCTTTTGCACCGTCGAATTCGACTTTTTCAGCAAGAAGGAATCAGAATGACCACCAGCCTATAGTGTGATAACGTCACGTGCATACCATGCTAAATAGTTCAGCTTTCTGGTGAAATATGATGTTCGCAACACTAGCCATAGATGTCCTAATTGTAAATTTGTGAAGTATTTATAGCAGTCTCGCGATGAGATATGGCAGCCTAGAGAAATGTTAGAACGCATGACTATTCTAGCATAGTGCTCTAAAGTGGGGGTTCAAAACAAGTGCAGGTAAAACCGAATATAACATTTGCCTCCCGAGACAGTATTTTGGAAGTTTCGAGCTCATGCAAGCTGATGAAATGTAATATACTAAGATTTCAAGAATCTTTGTCTGGCCTTCGCGCTATTTATGTAAAATCATGAATATCATTGCGTGCATCTTTACGCATCTCTTTTTGCAGTAAGCCGTTCTGGGAGGGATTATTTGGAAAACATAACATTAATTATCTCTATCTTTTTGAACATTCTGTGTATTTCACTTCCAATTCATCATGTGAGCATAGAGTCCTTTTTAGTGTACCCTGCAACCCGATGTTTCACACTGCCAATCAGAAAACAGAAAAACACTTTTACGTAGACTCCACAGCTCGCGTAGTTTCGAGTATCGTCCTTCCGCGTCGGTCTCAAGCGGTTATGTGAACTTTATAAAGTAAAATTGTTTTATCGATATAAAATATATTTAATTACTAATTGAATATTTGACGACATAAATAGAGGGCCGACCACTCTAAAGCAATGCCCCCCAAATTATTTGAAAGCGGTTCTGCCAATCTTTTCCGGCGTTTTTATCCTCGACAGGCACGTTGTAAGTGATATGGGACGGCCTTATATACATTTCTGATTTTGAAGCTAATTTAAATAACTATGTGTTCCTCGCACATATAACTTCTCAAACATATAGAAGTCTGTTATTGCCTTTTTTATCTGGTGAACATTAGTTTTATGTGTCTGTGGGCTGGACGAAAAGAAAGTAAACAGGGGCGCGCGGTGGAACTATGATGATTACGCACGCAAACCGTCAGAAAGTGTCCAATTAAGTATATATATATAGCTGCCTTGTCGAGTAGAACGTGAAACACTACTTCGTTTTACTAAACAAAAAAGAATTTTGAAGGACGCTTAAGCTCCACCTTTAAAAGTGGAACGCGATCGCGTCAACGGGCCTCGTTTGCATCGCATTCTCATTTGCCGCGCAAGCGTGCCTCGCGTGGCCTAGTGAAAAGCGTCTGACTCGCAACTAAAGGGTTGTGGGTTCGAATCCTGCCTAAAATTTTTAATTTTTTCTTTAAGGCAAAGCAAATTACTTTCAAAAGTGAAACCATTTGAAACATACGGTGACCTTTATTTCGCATTACATATCATGTTTTAATCACCCTCATTCCACGCGTGATGTCACGTTTCACGTAAGCATTGTGGGTTGTTTGAAATTCTTGCGCTAGGGTATGTAGCTCTGACGTCATGAACCTATCGACCCATCAGGATTTTCCAGTCACGCCACCGACATCGGTTTTTCTTCGACATGAGCTCGTTAACGCTATCGTGTTAAAATCATCAATTAGCAAGGGTGATGCTCATTTGCAAATTAAACTGTCCGGCATCTTGTCAACAACAAACCTCAAGAGCCAGGCTATGCCAGCTTATTCTGTATAAGAAAATGTTCACTTGGGCAAGCGCTATTTTGGGCCAGATTCGACCTGAGTGCGAAGGTGCGTATATATTAGAGTGAATAATTGCAATTACTCCTTGCTCCATGATTAGTCGCATGCGTGCGGTGCTGAGAGTAAACAATGTTTGGTTAGAACAACAGGCATTTGGATTGCCGCTCGGTGTTTCTATCAAAGATAGATTGAAAGGAGTTATCCTAAAACTTTGTTACATTTCGAAAATTTCATTGCTTTTAGCTCAGCTGGGTCGTCATCATATATATATATATATATATATATATATATATATATATATATATATATATATATATATATATATATATATATATTGTGAAGTGTATTTCGTAAACCTTATTTCATGATATATGGCCACGAGGTGCATGCTCATTTCATATTTTTATGTGATGTAATTAATTCCTTAGTTCAATGACACGATTTCACTTTTAATACTGACAAACAAGGTTGTACCAATCACGGGTATTTTAGACGACCTACCACACTTCGCGACAACATTTTATACCGTGTAAATAGATCAGCTTGAACTTTAGAATTTTACTTTAACACGAAGAAAGGACAAGAAAATACAGTATAGTTCTAAATTAGAAGCTGATCTATTTACAGGTACGTACCAACAAGCTCAACTCTTTACTCTTGTACTTAAACATTTTGATTCAGGCAAAATATATTTTACTCGTAAACAAATAGATATTGAGTCGTATGAACACGGCGTTATGTATGTTAATGTAGATTTTCTTCTACTCTTGCGTCAAAATTAAATAACTGAATTTAATATTTTTGGTACCTAAGAAGAAAAGTAAATTGCACGGACGATCGAAGAAACTATATAGTTAATCGTTTCACAACGGAAATAGTGTATATTGCCAAAATAACGCGGAAAATATATTCTCAATTTAGCGGTTCAAACCGGTTCAAACCGGTTTGAACCGTTATTTTTGGCTCCCCGGAACTGAACCGGAACCGAACCGAAAGCCGTGAACCCGAACCCGAACCGAACCGATAATAATTTCGGTTCGACACCCTGGTTGCAAGTGAAAAACGGACTCTCTCCGTAAATGTATGCCGCTTTCCTCCGCTGCCACACTCGCGCTTCCTCCACGTGGTCACGTGAACGGGGATTGAACGGGGATTTCGCGCGCTTTATGAGTCTTTGGAGGAATGGATGGGTAGCACTTACTATCCCCTGTAGTGATTTCCCTTCCCACCCCCTAGAAGAGTGTTTCTTACGTTGCTGTTTGCTGTACTTTGTGCTTTCTTAAAGAAAATTACGCATTCTTCATTCGTTGTAGAATTAAGGCCCGTTCACACTCTTGCAACCGAGTACGACCGAGAGAGAGAGAGAGGTTGCGGTCTCTAAGGACCAGCTCCGCGCTGCAGCGCATTCGGTCCTAAGAAGTCGCAAAAGGCTTAAAAACCGCTCTGGTCCCTCTCGGTCGCAAGAGTGGAAACGGTGCCTTACAGAACTTCTGTCGGGCACCACGCATGCATCTCTGTTCTGACGCGGAAAAACAGCGAAGTAGAGAACAAAAGCCTTCTTGTGCCTACCCACCCCCCCAACCCCAGACCTCTGGAAATTCGGACACACACCCCTGATTTGAATTCCTAAGGGGGGGGAGGGGGGGGGGGGGATGTGGTGTATAAAACGGGAAAGGGGGTTCAATGGCTATGAATTCCTGCGGAAACCCATGATTCACTGTATGGGGCGATAGTTTGCATTACCTACCTGTCAACATTTTTTTTCCTCGCCATATTTTGTCGCAAATCTCTCAACCCTTAATTAACGCTGCCCGAGGGCTTTTGCGCAGACCCTCAAACCTTTCTTTAAATAGGTGTTTTTTTTTAATTGGGCTTGTTTGATTTAGATCAAAATAATTTGATTTAAATTACACCAAAAAGGTTATAATTTATCACTAGATGTATTTTGAAACTTGGAGGAGGAGGAGGAAACTTTATTATTCTTCCGGGATCAGGTATTGGGGGTGGCGGAGGCCCAGAGGGCCGCCGCGATCGCCAGGGCCCGGGAGGTGGTCAGGACTTGGGCTGACTCCTCCGGGTCGCGCAACATCTGCTCCCAGAGGTGAGGGGAGGGAAGAGGGGGGTATGGGTCTGCGGGGCATTCGCAAAGGGAATGGTAATGAGTGTCGAATGCCCCGCAGGCAGGACAGGCGGGGCTGGTAAAGAGGTGTGGGTGAGTGTGTATTAGTTGTGTTCGGTGGGGGAAAGTGTGTGTTTGTAAGAGGCGCAGCATGTGTGCTGCCTCTTGGGAGAGGTGGGGGTGCGGAGGTGGGTATTGGCGGCGGAGGAGCCGGTAGTGTAGGGTAATATCCCTGGAGCGAGGTAGGCTTGCCTGCAGGGGCATCGCGTGTAGGCGCAGTTGAAACGGCGGCTCGGTCGATAAGTTCGCGAGCTTGAAACTTGAAAGATAGATCAGTCTGTCCCATCACTGAAAACAATACGAAAGAAAGGATAATTGCAAATGTGATTTTTTTAAAGTACGGTTTAATTAACAACGTTTTATTAATGTAAGCTCTGCCATACAACATAAGCTTGATATTTTTAGTTAGTAAACAGTCTTTATTAGCTTCCTTTTTTTTTCATCCTCC